ATGATAAAAGAAGAAGTTAATTTCCCATTTAGGGGATATGTTAGGACACACATCCACAACTCTGACATCATAATTTACATTTAGATAGCATTTTGCTTATCTGACAGTGAATGGGGATAGGAGTTGTTTGACTGCAGAGGAATGCTATCTGCTGTTGTTGATGTTTAGTCCTTTCAGTCTCGTCTGACTCTTCTTGACCCCATTTTTCAGTCCCTCCTTTGAGTAAAGCCTTTCTTTCCCAATTCCTCACTTCAGGCATCCCAATAGGTCCAACTTTTTCCTTAGTTATTGCCCCGACTCCACCCTGGGAGATGGAGGAGGATAGGGCTTTCTAACCAGCTAGGGAGAGGAGAATAGGAGAGTATAGTTTCATTTGACCTTTTCCCTGCTGTGAGCCCTCACCTGATAATCCCAGCAAATAAGAAGTTTCTCTCTGTTTCTTTCTCTCATTGTCCTCCACCAACTCTCACCCCCTTCACTGCATTTAATGCCCTCCTCAATACATACACACAAATGAATACAGTAAAAGTTTTTATTAGAAAAAATAAGTGCCAAAACAGAAAGCAAATAATGTCTTAGAAAAGTGAAGAAGGGGATTTAGACTCAGGAGAGTAAGGCAGAGTGAACTAAGGGGGTGGGAAGATGAGAAGTTCACCAGTTTTTGTTTTCCACATTAGACAGTCTTCACCTTTCTTCGCTGGTTCCAGGTTGCCCTATGTCATTCAGCCATAGCCCTTTTCCCAGCACCTCTTTTCTTGGTAGGACCGTTCCAGCTTCAACTATTGCAACATCAGTAATGGCATCAAGTATCTCACAAGGTTCCCTCTCTTGTTTTTTTCTCTGTTTCTCCCCAGTTCCAGGCCCATGCTCCCAAAGTTCTTCTTTTCTCTCTCTTCCTTTTTTTTTTAGGCAGTTGGGGTTAAGTGACTTGCCCAGGGTCACACAGCTAGTAAGTGTCAAGTGTTTGGTCTGAGGTCGGATTTGAACTCAGGTACTCCTGACTTCAGGGCCGGTGCCCTATCCACTGTGCCACCTAGCTGCCCCTCTTCTTTTTGATTCTCAAAAAATTTCAGTTCTCTTTTCTCTCACAGGAATGATAGGCACCTTCTCATCAGTGATGGTCTCGTGGCTTTCAGAATATCAAGTAGGAGGCTCCAGGAGCCTCTGATCCACCCAATGACTTTGTCCCAGCACCATGTTACATCTAATTTACCTCATCTGATCTGTGTAACAACCTTGTAAGTAACGTAGTACAGGTGTAGAGGGCTTACCAAGACAAAAAGGTCTTAAAACTTGATTTCCCGAAAGTCTTAGAATCAAAAGAGCATTGGAAATTCTCTGTACTATATTCCCCAGAATGCTGTATGTGTAGCCATTGCATAATGATGTCGACAGACAAAGACTCAATTGATTCTATGAGATGGAAGGTTAGGGGGGGAAAAAAGGGATAACTTTTCGTCTATACATTCCTTGACATTCAGATTCTTCACTTGGCCATGTCACCATGCTTCGAGCTAAACATACAGCCTCCCTGGAAACATAGCCCAGAATATTTCTGCTAATAAGAAATACTCTCTTCACACTAGTGATGGGAAATAAAATTCTAGAATCTTTTCTCCTTTGTCTTGACATCTGTAAAAATATTAACATCGCCATTGTACAGATGAGAAAACTGATTGTGGATCCCCGGCCTATCACAGGTAAGCATAGTGGTGAGCAAATCAATAGTTCTATGCTTGAATCAGTCTTTACAAAGTTTTTTCAACTGAGTGGAAGTCAGCAAAGATAGAAAAGAAAGATTGGCTAGATACCCAAAACTGCAGTAGCAGAAACGGAAAGAGGAGGCAGGAATACTAGAACAGTAGCCTAGGCTATAAGGCTGAATGTGTCTCTGTTTATTTGAGCAGAACTAGCAATTTAGCACTTGACATTAAAAATACCACATGACATTTCTAAAACATCTAGGTGAAAGCATTAGACCCAATTTATTATCAATCAATTTAAGAAAATCTCCTTTCCACTTACATACCATAATGCCTTTTATGTTAAAGAAGAAAGAAATGTTTAAATAAAGCATCTATTTCATTTCTTAAAAAAACCTTTCATTTTATTCCACTGAGCATTTCCCTCACTGTCTCTCTATTACTGAAGAAACACAAAATACGAAATTGTAACATATCGGATCAGCATATGCCAGCGGTCACCATTAGGTTTTTTATCAGAAATGAAGATAACACAGGTTAAGACTAATGCTGCACTGACCTGAATGGGAAACCTACTACCATGAAAACAGAAAAGAATCTCTGCAATACTAATTAAACTTGTTAATAAATACATGAAAGAAATGGAAATACAAGATCAATACTCTCTTCTGTTCATTCCAAATTATTTTAACCCATCTGTCTCTCTTTACCCTTTGGGAAAATTGGCAGCAATGCAATTACTTTCTCTTAAATCACTAATTTCCTCAAAATTGTAAGGGGCTGCCACTTTGCACCCAAATCATTTGTAGGCCATAAAATTTAAAAGAAGACGCTAAAACTACTAAAACAGTGGAATAGGACTCAGATCAGTTTTTCAGATTCAGAAACTAATAATTGACTTTTTTTGCATTTAATTTTATTTTTCTCATTTACATATAAACAAAAAATTTTAACATTTTTTAAAACATTTTTAGTTTCAAATTCTCTCCCTCCCTCTCTGCTCCCTCAATGAGAAGGCAAGCAATTTGATATGGATTATACATGTGCAGTCATGCAAAACATTTCCATATTAGCCATGTTGCAAAAGAAAACATAGACCAAAAAAAGAATTAATAGTTGTGGTGTATCAGAAGAATTTATACAGTCTTCTTTATATGTAAAGGGGATAATAAATAATAGCACTCACCTCCCAAGATTGCTGGAGGAATAGAATTATTCTAAAGTGCTTAGCATAGTGAGCACAGTATAAATGTTGACTACTTTTATTTGTTTTTGGAATGTAATGAGATAAATGATTTTCTAAGAAGGCTAAGTTAAAATTTTATCCAACAGCATACTTGACATTTGACTTGAGAAGAACTTGGTGTGAGAAATGATTAATGTAGACCCCTGGTTAGTATTATTAAGTTGAGTTTGGCTCCACAGGGGCATTGAATATTACTGTTGTACTTGTTTACTGATATACAGTTTGTCAATCTAGTAAATCCATTTGCTTAACCAATGCCTGATGAGTAAATGGCCAAACCCAGTGTGGTGGGGAGTGACTCAATGATATGGAAAGTGCCCCAGTTATTTTTTTTATTATACTTCTACCCTTATTATCCCTTGGCTAGGGAAATGGCCCTATGGCACTTGGCCAACAGGTCCTATGATTACTTGACTAATGGGTGATCCTATCTTCTCATTGCAGGATCTGCTTACAAGTCTATTCCTCAATCTATTGCCCAACATGGGACCAATGAAAGACTATCAGCTCTGGTATATTTGGATATCCTCTACCAGTTAATTTATCACAAGCATAAACTGAAGATTCTCCTGGAAGGATAAGATATAGGTCTATCAACCAATGAGACTACATATTTTACCTTGCCTCTACTGTATCAACTGGGTATCAAGCACTATAAAACTAAGCATTTAAGGAAAGGAGGCATCTCAGACTGTGAGGAAGACCTAAGGTCTTCCTTAGGGGGGGCCATGGACCCTTTAATAAAGTGCTATTGGATTGGATCTCTGCCTCATTTTCTTTTATTGTACATTGGGCAAGACTGGACCCCACATTGAGCAGTTTGGTATTACATTTAAAAATTAAAAAAAAACCCATGATATTTTTTATGCTTCTAGTTTTTCTTGTATTGTAGAATTTTGGGAGAATATCAGACATGTGATTGACCCAGCAACACCACTATGAGGTCTTTTTTCCAAAGATGATTAGGGAAAAAGGAAAACAACCTATATGTTCTAAAATATGTATAGCAACTCTTTTTGTGGTGGCAAGGAACTGGAAATTGAGGGGATGCTTGTCAATTAGGAAATGGCTAAATAAGTTGTGGTATATGGGCATAATGGAATTCTACTGTGACAAATATGGCCAAGATCAGAAGGAAAGCAGAAAATTGGAGAAAAAATTTTTATAGACAGTTTCTCATATAAAGGTCTTATATCTCAAATATATATATACATATATATATGTATGTGTACATATATATGTGTGTGTATGTGTGTGTGTGTATTTAAAAACTTGTGTCTAATGATAGCCATCTCTAGGGTGTGGGGGGGGGTGGAAAGAAAAAAAGGTATTTACATGATAAATTTCTTTATTACATATTTAAAAGGAATAGCAAGTTGCACATAATAGATTTGTACTTTCATTGCAATCTTTTTTATTATTCTGTTATAGACATGCTTGTTTCATTTCATAAATTAAAATAAAACAAATACAATTTTAAAAAAAGAAAAATTGTAATAATGCAGTACTTTTTGCATTGAAAGGTAGAATTCTTATGATTTAGTAAGAGTTTTGAGCCCTGCCCCCCACCGTCACCAGAGTTGTGATCTAAATTTTGTAACTGTGCTTAAATAAAGTTATAATATCTTATCAACCATGTGGAAGAACTTATGTTGTGGAAGTCTAATGCTAAAACAATGTTATGGGGAGAAATGAACATTGTCCTATATCCCATATGCATTGTTACCTTGAATACTTGCATAGAAACTATATCTATTTTGGCTACATCTGTAAAGACCTAGAAATGCGCTTTATTTTGAGAGCCCCAAAGTTAACTCTGAATAGGGACAATATGAACCAAATACATATAATTTTGGTGCAAACTCTATAATATTGATCCGAGGAGTCCAACCAGCATTTATTTAATGTTTTCTACATAGAGCGCCAGGCCTGGAGTCAGGAAAGACTCATCTTCTTGAGTTCAAACCTGGCCTCAGACACTTACTAGCTGTATGACCCTGGGCAAGTCACTTACCCTTGTTTGCCTTTGCTTCCTTATCTGTAAAATGAGCTGGAGATGGAAATGGCAAACCAGTCCAGTATCTTTGCCAAGAAAACTCCAAATGGGTTCATAGAGTCAGACACAAGTAGAATGACTGAAATAACAACATGTACCAGCCACAGTACTTAGCACCAGAGTTACAAAGAAAGACAAAAATAGCCCCTGCTGTAGTGAAGAGAAGGGGACTTTAAATGCCAAGCCTTTGCCTTTTGATCTAGAGGTAACGAGAAGCCTCTGAATCTTTTTGAGCAGGAGCATGGCATGGTTTAGGAATACCAAGATGGTAGTTATGTGGATGATAGATTGAATAGGAGAGAGAATAGACACAGGGAAGCCAATTAGGAGGCTAGTGCAATTGTCCAGGTGAGAGGACCTAAACTGGGGTAGTTGCTTAGGACAGAAGAAAATGGATGTGAGATAGGTTATGGAGGTAAAGTCAAGATTTGGCAACAGATTGAATGGGGATGGGGGTGGGAGTGAATGAAAGTGATGTCCTGAAAAGAAATAAGGAAGTTGGGAAGAGAGGTAGGTTTTGGGGAAAAAATAATGAATTCTATATTGGATATATTAACTTTTGAAATGACAAGGGCAGTTAATGGTGTCAAATGAAATGAGGTCAAGCTATGGTAGATTTGAAGACTCAAGATCACCAAGGAAGATTAAGGAGACAGTACTTTGACTTGAAAATGAGAAAGTCAAACTAACAAAAAAAAAACCCCTACTTTTTTCCCCCTGTTCTCTTTTACATCATGTTGCAGAAGCAGAAGTGAAATTAACTAGATGCTTCTTGTTGGGAATGTGGCTGCTGCTTAAAGTGCTTAGCTTCTATCAGTGACACTTGACAACCCTGGTTAAGAACAAAGACTTAAAAGAGTCACCAAGACTGAGATGGAGACAGACTGAAGGAAGTTATAGGAAGGAGCTTTACTTTAGTGTGGAACTTAGCAATATTACTATGAAAATCATGTTAATTTTCATGCAAAATCTTATTTTATCTTTCATATTTGGACTTCATCTAATTTTTGAAAATATTTTTCATGACATCTTAATAAACTGTTTTCTTGGACAACAAAAAAATTTCACACAGATCAGTCAGTATACTACAGGGCTATCACCTCCTTCATATGTTCTCATTCTGTCTCCCTCTCTCTCTCTCTCTCTCTCTCTCTCTCTCTCTCTCTCTCTCTCTCTTCCTCCTTCCCTATTCTCAGGTGTACATATCCCTATATAAATTAATGTGAAATAAGAGCCATCTCATGGAGCATGCTCAGAGTTGCCCTCCCTGGTTCTGATCAACCATCTGTATTGGCTCAACACATGGCCACACAGGGGATGATGTGTGACTACTTCAGTGCTACTAACCCAGCACTCTGGCATGACATAGCAGGCTTTGGGTGAAGCTTTGGTCATCAATTTGCCCTGTAACATGGGCATGGGGGCAGGGTACTTCCTCATTTGAAAGGAGACACAACTTCTGACTCACTCTCTCCCCTCCCATAAGACAAGTAGTGATCTGTCTCTAGACTTATGGGAGGGGGGGAGTGGGCTTGCAGGAAATGAACTGTACTCTTCCTTCCATCCTGCAGTGGCTACTCCCACATAGAACATGGGCTCCGGGTGGGCCCCTGGCTTCCTTTCCTTCTTTTTGTCTCCTTTCTCAAGTACGTTATTGAACAGCAATCTCAAGATGGACATGTTTTGGTCTTGTCCAGGGGCTGTCTAATCTATTCTTAGATCAGAGCCCCTTGGGCCAAGACGGCTTCCTGAGGAGTCTGTAGCATCATTCTCAGCTCTTCCCAACAAGTGCGTGTGTTTGGGGTGGTGGGAGCAGGGGTAAGGGTATCCAGTCTGCTCAGCACAACCATATAGAATCTTTAGAGCTCAGGCCTGAAATAGAATAAACAATAACAACCCATTCTAGCCTGCCTTTAGGGCAGAAATAGACAGTAGAGGGCCTAACATTGACTCCCAAGCAGGAAGAAAGGTGAGAACCAAGCAAGCAGGAAAAAGGATGTGGGTGCAAAGAAAATGCTGCCAAATAAAAGCATATCAGATCCCAATGCTGGGATCCAGCAGAAGCCAGAGCAGCAGTATCATAGATTTCACAGCTCCAAGAGGTCAGCTGGAGAGACCAGAGGAATCTAGGCACTTTTTCTATGTGATAGCAAATAGGATTTTTCCTTTTCCAATTATCCGGATGGGCTGGCTTTTGTTCTTAGGTTGTAATGTTCAAATCAAATCCCATTTACCTAGCATAAAATCCTACTGGCTAGCAAAAATGCTAAACTGTGTTTACATTATACCAAGTTTACAAGTACAGAGAGAATAAGGGAGAGATCTTTACTATAAAGAAGCAAAATGTTTGGTCACCAGGAAATGATCTGGGGGCTTGGAGCTATCAACTATAGTACGAAAAGGGAGAACTTTAGTAGACTGTATGAGCCTGGCATACGAATTCAGAATTCAGCTATTCTCAGGAATAAATCACAAGCCAGTTTAGAGTCAAGCTAGAGGGAGCAAATTGTAGGCAGGTCATTTTAATTCTTTAACCCAAAGGTCTTGTTACTGGTATACCAGGCTCAAAAAGAAGGCCCCTCCCATGAAGCAGGAAAGAATGAAACAGGGGCAGCTAGATGGTGCAGTGGATAGAGCACCGGCCCCGGAGTCAAGTCAGGAGGACCAGAGTTCAAATCTGACCTTACACATATAATACTCACTCAATCACTTAACTCCAATTGCCTCATAAAAAAAAAAAAAGAAAAGAGAAAAGAAAAAAAAGTTGTATGTCCCTAATTCAAGTTGTTGTTCATCCTTCTTTTCTGAAGAGGACCAATGATATCACGGGACAATGTCCTGACTTATGAACTGGATTTAAATGAGGCAGAGTTGCATAAAATCATCAGCCTCACTCTCTCTTCTAGAGTCATCAAAGTCCAGTGGCAAGACAAAAGTCAGGATCACTGGTGATGGCCCAGGATGCAGTGGATGACTTTGGTGTCTTTGATTTCCAACCGAGCTCTAAGCCCCTCTACAGTGTCTGCTTTAGCTGCCTTCATGGCCATTGGAACAAATTGTTCTCAGCCACCCATTCCACTGAGGGAGAGAATAGTTTAGCCCGCCTTCCTCACTATCACCATCAACTGTTACATTTTGATAGTGTTTTAAGGTTTACAGAATTCTTTGATCACAATAACCCTATAGCATAGGTACTCCTCCATTATTCACACAAGGAAACTGAGGCTCCAAGGGATAAAGTGAATTTCCCACAAATATACTGCTATTAAGTGTTGAAGCTTGGATACAAACCCTCATCTCCTGATTCCAAGTCTTGCCTACACCACACTCTGAGTTTCTCTGAAGTTACCAAAACCTGCAAAAATGAACAAGAGGCCAAGATGATCTCTCTCCCAGAATGCGCAAGGAGGAAACACTTAGTGGAAGGGGCTAAGAGGCACAGACCCAAGGCTACTGTCATCTCCAATAGCTCTGGGGCTCTGTCTTTTACCCTCCTTCCAACTTCCTCTTTCAATTATGAATCCCCCACATGATTCTCTCATAGAACAGTGATTAATTCCTTGAGGAAACAGAGGGAATTCCTTCTGCCCCTGGCCCAGGAGATTAGATTTAAAAGAGTGCAAAATCTAAAGATGGTCAGGTTAGGTTCGACAAAAAGGTAGTGACATGGAAGGAAAATAAGAATATACTGATCTGGTCAGAATTCTCCACTAAAGGCAACATCCTGGGAGCCTGAGTCCATCCATCCAACCCTTTCTACCAAATTCTATCTCTTCCTTTTCAAGAACGGAGAATACATTACCTCACTCTGTCCCGTACCCTCCTTAGAATTTCCCACAGTGACTCACCTCGGAAAAGAGGGTGGGCAGATTTCCATTCACTTCTTCGGGTAGGTCTAATCTCTGGGGAAGGAGAGGAGAAGAAGAAAGATAACTAAATGAAAGCTATTGATGGAGATGGGTAGCTAGGTGGCATAGTAGATAGAGCATCAGGCCTAGAGACAGGAAGACTCATCCTCATGCGTCCAAACCTTGCCTCAGACACTCATTAGCTGGGTGACTCTGGGCAAGTCATTTAACCCTGTTTGTCTCAGTTCCTCTTCTATAAAATGAACTGGAGAAGGAAATGGCAAATCATTCTAACATCTCTTCCAAGAAAACCTCATATGGGGCCAAGAAAAGTCAGATTCAAGAAAGGAAAGGAAATATGAATAAGGAGAGTGGAGTCCCTTATCCTGTCCATAGTCTCCCTCTTCTCTCCTTTCCAATGCATGCTAGAGTAAGAAAAGTCCCTCAGGTTAGCTAAGAGGAGAAATGGGGTTGGGGGGTCAAGAGGACTGAAGCCCATATACCCTTCCTTTGTCACTATAAGCATCATCTCTGGTTCATTTAGCCCAAATCAACCCCTCTCCATAGATCTTGTAGGGCAAGAAACTCCTATTTATATAGCGCTTTCAGGTTTATAAAGCACCTTCCTCCTATCATGTGATGGAGGTAGAGCAAGTAGTATTGTCCATATTTTTCAGATGAGGAAATGGAAACTCAGAGAGGTTAAGGATTTGCCCAAAGTCACATAGCTAGGGGGCAGCTAAGTGGCACAGTGGATAGAGCACTGGCCCTGAAGTCAGGAGGACCTGAATTCAAATCAGGCCTCAGACCAAACACTAGCTGTGTGACCTTGGGCAAGTCACTTAACCCCAATTGCCTGAAAAAACCCCAACAACAACAACAACAAAATCACATAGCTAGTGTCAGTGTTAGCATTCAAACCCAGGCTTCTCCTGCTTCCAATTTCAGTGCTCTTTCCATGCTGCCAATCAAGGTGTAAGTAGAGCCTGAGGCATGATTGGTGGTACGTGGATGGAGATTTATCTCTAGGCCTGGAGTTAGGAAAACCTAAATTCAGACCATTAGCTGTGTGACCCTGGGCAAGTTGTTTAACCTCTAGCTGCCTCAGTCGCTTCATCTGTAAAATGGGGACAATAATAGCACCTACCTCCCAGGGTTGTTGTGAGGATCAAATCAGATAATGTGTGTAAAGCACTTAGTAGGCACTTAATAAACACACGTTTCCTTTCTTGCTACTATGGAAAAGAAGAGAGAGAAGGTGAAACATTGATGATGCTAAATTCCACCTCTCCCTGGGCCAGGAGAGAATTGTTGATAAGTTCCTTCCTTGCCTACAGTTCCGTTAGCTCTATCGGTTATTTCCGCCACCCAACAGTCTCTTTTATCCAACTCCATAAACAAACTGGTCCTCCATACCTGGCTTTGCCTGCATCCGCCTCCACAGCTGAGCTCCAACAACAACGAGGACAGCAAAGATGAGGCCTATGCTGATAATTAGTAGTTCAACCTGCAGGGGTCCACGGGACAAGAGGTTAGGTCCAGGGGGCACCTCAGTTGGTAGCTCTGAAATGGAATAGAGTGTGGGCCTCATCAGATAGACGATACAGGCATTTTTTGAGAATAAGGAAAGCTTCAAGGGAGGAGAGCCATGGATCAATCATTCCTATAAACTCTTTTAAACTCACAATACACCATATCTGAGGCACAAACCACACCCATGAATCAAAAGGAAAACTCCTGTCCTGCGATTCCTACCTGTCCTCTCCAAGATCCCCTTCCAGGATGCCAAGTATCTCTGGAGCCGAATAGAACAGTATTCCTCCTCATGGACTTTAGGGAATTTCATTTGGAACCAGTCCTCCCATTTCTCCTTAATTCTCTTAGCCGCTGGATGGGTTGCAGTCCAGTTGAGTCTCTCCGGGTCGAAGGTCAGGAAGTCTTGCCCATCAAATCGGAACCTCCAGAACCCTCTGGTGCTATTGTTGCCCTGGAGCTTACACCCCAATGTGGCCTGAAGGGTGTGAGAGCCTGAAACCACCCACCCCTAGGATAAATAACTACTGCCCATCTTCACCTTGTTGCTTGGTGTTCAATTAAGGCACAACCTTCTCCCTGCTCCCCTAATCCACCCATACAGGTTACAAGGGAACTCAGGTTGGGTCCTTTTGAGATTCTAAAATAGGCTCCATGGGAAAGGGAGAAGGGAAGTTCTGACATGGCCCAGTAGGCCCATGGTCTTATTCCCACCTCAGTCCCCATCTCCCATAGTCTTCACCACCGCCCTTCCCATACCCCTATCCTTCACACTCACCATCACTGCTGTCACTCTGGTTGTTCTGTCTCAGAATATCTTGAAGGGTCACTCTCAGTTCTTTCCCCCTCTCCTCAAGGTCCTGGGTCACCCTGTCCCAGACTTTTCTCCCTTCCTCTGTATCATTCCATGGTTTTTGCAGCACTGCTCTTCTACTCTCTCCATCATAGTGAAGGAAGAGTTGATTATTTATATATCCAAGGGCCATGTAGAGAGGTTCCCTGGGTTCTGGCTGGGATACAACGATGAGATCATATTGAAGAGAGGCAGGCCCTATGAGATCAAAAGACATAAGAGTCAGCATTTTCTCCTAACAGCTCACATTTATTCCCATTTCTGATTGCATCCTTCTGTCCTCTCCCCCTCCCCAAATTAATCTATATTTTCATCCTAGTTGGATTCTAGTGGGGGATGGGTACTGGACCAGTGATTTCATTGGTGTAAAGAGAAGAGACTCCTTCTAGCATCTTCTATGCAATTTATAGCCTAGTCTTTGAGTTGTCTAGAGCACTGAGAGGTGCCAGGAACACTAATGGCCCCAGAATTTAACATTGCCTCTGCTGTCAATGGACACGGTGCACTTTCTCTTTTTTTATCCATAAGGAACACAGAAAAAAAAGTAGGATGAAAAATTTTGTTTCAAAGGAATATTTTTTTTGGCATATCATTGAGACCTTGGTCTTTCAAGTGGTATGTGACTTGCCCAGGCAATATGTGTCAGAGGCAGGATATTAACTTATAGCTCCCTGGCCAGTTCTTTATCACACTGCCTCTCAGCAGCCTAGTGGAGATAATTGATATTTTCTAAATAATTTTTAGGGCAGCTAGGTAGTACAGTGGATAGAGCACAGGGCCTGGAGTCAGGAATACCTAAATTCAAATCTAGCCTCAGATATTTACCAGCTAGCTGTATGGCCTTGGGCAAGTCACTTACCTCTGTTTACCTCAGTTTCCTCATCTGTAAAATGAGCTGGAGAGGGAAATGGCAAACCACTCCAGTATCTTTGCCAAGAAAACCCCAAATGGAGTCACAGAGTCGGATATGACTGAACAACAACAAAATACTTTTTTTTTAAAACAAGTAACCATTTTATCAGTGTGGACACTTTCCAAATAGATGTAAAGTGATCAGCCTTTCACCTTTAGAAGATGGTCTCCATGAGCTGCCATTTCTAAAAAAAAAATTGTCACCTGATAATGATTCTAAAATTTCCTATTAGTCTCTAGCTCCTTCAGCCCTACCAAATAGTTCTACCTTTCCTTCCTGGGGGAGTGGGGATGGGAAGAGGGGAAGGAGGAGATGTCTGAGGGTCTACTTGGCCCCTGCTACTAGAAATAGACCTGGGTTTGAACACTAGTCCCTGTGGAAGAATATTGTTTTACTCAGCTCTAGAGACAGCTGATGGTGCTGGAAACAGAGTACTGGGCCAGGAATCTGTAAGTTTTAAGTTCAAATATGACCTTGATTGGGTTATGGGACCTGGACTCCTAAAGGAAAAGACTATGTGTCTGGAAGCAAGCCAGTCCCTGAACTTTTCCACATTTTCAGCTGCCCAGATCACTGGCTCTCCCCCAAAGCATATGACCTACCCCAGCCCATCTTGATTACTTAATTACCTTATTTGATACTCCTTAATCCCAGCTAATCTTTTCAAGGTTGGACCTGGCCCACCCCAGACAATTTACCTCTTCTTAATCACATCAAAATCTTTTTATTTACCTGTTTTCCTTTCATATATACACACATATATATATACACATAAAAAATACACATATATGTGTGTGTATGTATATATATATATATATATATTTATATATATACACATACATAAAAAATATATGTGTGTGTGTGTATATATTTTATATATATATATATATATATATATATATATATATATATATATATATGTATAAAACTATCAGTCCCATTCTTATCAAGCTGCAGATTCCCTAAGAAACTAGCCTGCTTCTATTGGTGTTATGATAAACCTCCCTCTGACTGAAAGGAGGCCTGGGTGATTGAATTCTTTCCAGGCAGAGTCTCCTTGTACCCTTACACTTTGGGGTTCCCAGCAACCCCAAACTGTGTCAGCCTTAGACAGTTACTAGCTGTGTGGTCCCAGGCAGGTCACATTCTTAACTGTAAAATGGGGATAATAAATAGCATATTTATTCATAATAAATTATAATAATAAATAAGAATGTATATATATATATAATATACAAACATATAAAGTAATATTAATAATAAATAATAAATAACACTTATCTTCCAGGGTTGTTGTAAGAATCAAATGAGTACAGGACCTAACACACAGTAGGCACTATATAAATGCTTATTTCCTTCCCCTTTTTTCTATGGAAATGCCAGGCATACTTGGAAAGAACAGGTATTCACCTACCTCTTGGAATCTGTTTGAACTTACCTGGTCTACTCTTGATATAGACACAGAATATGTCAATACTTCCTTAGCTTTGACTATATTCATGTTTGTAATGGGGTTTCGTTTTTCCTACTTTCTTATTGGAAGGAGGGAGGGGAGGAGTGACAGAAAGAGAAGGCAGACGACTTGAAAATAAAATAAAATTTAATTAAAAAAATACCTTTTGTGAAAATAAGTTTAATATGAATGTATATGTTGAGCCTATATCAATTTATGTGCCATCTTGGGGTAGAGGGAAAGGAGAGATGGGGAGAAAATTTAGAACTCAAAATCTTATGGAAGTGAATGTTGAGAACTAAAATTAAATACATAAATTTATTTTAAAATGCCTTTCTAGCTTCATAGGACCTACTTGAGCATGAATGGCAGTCTGGCCACATTCACCATGCTTCCATCCACATTCCTGCCACACACCAAGTCCCCAGTCTCACCATCCCTAGCCCAACAACCATTTTCTTACTACATTCATTAACCATATCAACTAGCACTACTCTCTAACTTGTGAGAATTCATAATCAAAGGCTGTTCCAGAGAGAGAGAGAGAGAGAGAGAGAGAGAGAGAGAGAGAGAGAGAGAGAGAGAATGCACCTCTCTCTTTGCAGAGATGGTGGTGGTGGTGGGGAACGGATGTGGAACATTGCATATATAATCAGCTGTCATTAATATGTGGGTTAGTTTTGCTGAACTTCTCTCCATTTCCCTTTATTTTTTGTTCTTTTGTAAAAAATGTAATTATTTTGAACTTAAATACTAAAACTTAAATATACAATAAGAAAAGAAAAATATTAAATATTAAAACTTAAATACCAAATGAGAAAGGAAAAACAAAGCATTGCCCTGCTTACGGCAGAATGTAAGAGAAGATTCAAAAAATACAGCAATAAATTATATTTCATTCTTTTTAAGTAGGAATGGCAATCTGGAGTGGGGAAGAGGAGATATGTTTTTGAAAATGAAAGTGATGTAAAAATGAAAGACATCAATATAAATGTAAATTAAACAAACAAAAAGAATGCATGGTTAGATCCATACTCAAAGAATGCATGAGAGTAGGGCCTAGAAAGAGGAATAGATATCAAGAGCCATTAAAAACAAATTTTAAAACTTCGGTGAAAAACTTGACAAATAAGGGTTTGTTCCCAAGTATATGTGCTTATATGTAAAATATAGCAACTTCCCCCACATTGGTTATCATTTCTTTCTTTTTTTTTTTTAATACTTTTTTTTTGTGAGGCAATTGGGGTTAAGTGACTTGCCCCGAGTCACACAGCTGGTGAGTGTTATGTGTCTGAGGCTGGATTTGAACTCAGGTCTTCCTGACTCCAGGGCCAGTGCTCTATCCACTGTGCCACATAGGTGCCCCATTTCTTTTCTTTTCTTTTCTTTTCTTTTCTTTTCTTTTCTTTTCTTTTCTTTTCTTTTCTTTTCTTTTCTTTTCTTTTCCTTTTTTTTAAAAAGAAATATTAACACCATAAAACCCCAGGAGCATCTCCATTTAGGAAAGGGAAAGGAACAAGCATTTTATTAAGTGTCAGGCACTGCACTATGCTTTGTAAATATCTCAGTTGATCCTCACAATACTAGGAAGTAGGGACCGTTATTAGCTCCATTTTAGAGATGAGAAAATTGAGGCAGGGCTTAAGTGACTCGCCTAGGGTCACTCTTTAATTGAATTAGAAATCAGGCCTAGAAGTCACACAGTTAATAAGTGTCTAAGGCTGGATTTGAATTCAGATCTTCTTCCTGACTCCAAGTCCAGGGATGTAGATGTAGCATGCTTTTTCCTTTTTTTTTTTTTTTGGCATTACCATCCGTATCCAATGCCTTCTAAATCAAAAACAACAAAACCCTGTAACAGATAAGTATGGTCAAGCCAAAGCAACCCAAGCAGTGGCCATGTCCAAAGACATATATCTTCCTCCACACTTTGATTCTATCACTTCTGTCCAGAGGCTATTTCATCCTAGTTCCTGTGGAGGTGTGACAGGTCCTGGCCTTGATCAGATTTCTGAGGCCCTCTAAAGTTGTTTTTCGTTATTTCTGCAACTATGGGTTTCTGCCACAAACCAAAAAACCTTCCTTAGGGATGCTAGGCAGTGCAGGAGTCAGGGTACACCTGAGTTCAAATCCAGTCTTAGACATTTACTTATCAGTACTATACTGTGTAAGTCAGTAAAGCTTTGTCAGCCTCTGTAAAATGGGAATCCTAATTGCGTCTACTTCCCAGGATTATAGTTAGATAATATGTCACATAGGAGGCTCTTAATAAAGGTTTGTTTTCTTTCTTCCTCAGGCTATATTCCAAACAGGCTTCTTTATTGCCTGCAAAATGCTCTGGCAACAACCCACAGTGCTCCACTCCCATCTCCCCCCCCAAAAAAAGAAAAGCCCCAAAGTACCCAGTGTCACTTTTTGAAATTCGGTTTCACAACTATTGAAAGCTCCCTAATAACCCTCCACCTGGAATGTAACACCTTTTCAAGTTAACAAAGAAACCTTGGAAATCATTTCCATGACAGTCAGGAAATGTGAATCCAGATTCTATAGCCAGTCTAGAGGGAAGAAAAGCTCCTCACACACACACACACACACACACACACACACACACACACACACACACACACACACACATTTCTCTTATTCTTGTATTCCCTGTGATCAGGGAAACACGCAGCTCAGTGGCTACTGTGTTTGAAATAACAGTCTCCATGTGCACCAAAACCTTGGAAGTAAAGGAGGCTACTGTAGAATTATCCAGTAAGAATGGCAGTAAACTTAAAGGGTCATCTAATTCAATCGCTAACTAAAGGGTGAACTCTGTTGTGAAGA